CATGAATGGGAGTGGGGTCTGAGGAGTTCCAGCCTTTCCTGAGCTTGGAAAAGCCATCTCGGTGAGGAGAAAAAAGAGAATTTTACAGAGCACCTATTGTGCTGAGTGCTGCTCCCTCCCTTTCTCCGTGCAGAATTCCCCCCTTGCTGGGGGGATTTTTTTTGTATCTTTGAGGGGGTTTTGGAAATGTGAATTATCCTGGAATTCAGGTGTTTTTATGGATGGGAGTGGGGTCTGAGGAGTTCCAGCCCTTCCTGAGCTTTGGAAAAGAGAGGATGGAAAAGAGATGGAAAAGCCATCTTGGTGAGGAGAAAAAAGAGAATTTTACAGAGCACCTCTTGTGCTGAGTGCTGCTCCCTCCCTTTCTCCATGCAAAATTCCTTGCTGGGGGGATTTTTTTGTGTCTTTGAGGGGAGGGGCTTTGGAAATGTGAATTATCCTGGAATTCAGGTGTTTTTATGGCTGGGGAGTGGGGTCTGAGGAGTTCCAACCTTTCCTGAGCTTGGAAAAGCCATCTCGGTGAGGAGAAAAAGGAGAATTTTACAGAGCACCTATTGTGCTGCTCCCTCCCTTTCTCCGTGCAGAATTCCCCCCTTGCTGGGGGGATTTTTTTATATCTTTGAGGGGGTTTTGGAAATGTGAATTATCCTGGAATTCAGGTGTTTTTATAGATGGGGAGTGGGGTCTGAGGAGTTCTAGGCCTTCCTTAGATTGGAAAAGCCATCTCGGTGAGGAGAAAAAACAGAATTTTACAGAGCACCTCTTGTGCTGCTCCCTCCCTTTCTCCGTGCAAAATTCCTTGCTGGGGGGATTTTTTTGTGTCTTTGAGGGGAGGGAGGGGTTTTGGAAATGTGAATTATCCTGGAATTCAGGTGTTTTTATGGCTGGGGAGTGGGGTCTGCTCCTTCTGGTGCCAGCTGGACTTTGGAAATGTGACTTATCCTGGAATTTAGGTGTTCTCATGAATGGGAGTGGGGTCTGAGGAGTTCCAGCCTTTCCTGAGCTTGGAAAAGCCATCTCGGTGAGGAGAAAAAAGAGAATTTTACAGAGCACCT